GGGTAGAGGAGACATTCTGAACCCCCTTTGGCTGAACTCTTTCCTGTAACCAACACTCCAACACCAGTTTCCCAGCAGGAAAAACAGACTGGGGCCAAGATCACTCTCTAGTCTGTTTTGTGGTAGCAGTCACTGGCTGGGAATCTGAGTCAAGGCTGGCTGGTAGAGTATGCCCATGAGTGGACATACACAGCTACAATCAGAAGCAGATGGACTGAGGGGATAGCTCAGTGTGCAGAGCACTTGCCTCATATGCGTGAAGACCCAGCTTCCATCTCCAGCAAACCAGGCATGGCACTGCACACCTGCAATCCCAGCACTTGGGAGGCGGAGGCAGGAGGATCAGAAGTTTAATCATGGTCATCCTTGACCACACACCGAGTTTGAGGTCAACCTGGGCTCTGACTCTTTCAAAATAAAAAAGATGAATCAGGGAATACAAAACTCTACCCCCCTGTCCTGAGCAGCTGACGTGAGTTTAGTTTGTGTTGGTGGCAGTCTAGACTCTCTTGGAGTCACGAGGACTGTTCCAGGGGTCTTTCTTCCAGGGAAGGGGTGGCTGGGAAGCTCTCTTTTGGTCTGATGGCTGAACTGACTCTTCTAGAATCTAATGCTTGTGCTTTTGCTCTCTACTCAAGAGCCTCTGTGGCTTGACCATGACACCATTCCCTACGTGTCTCATCCTCCCAACACCTGGAGATGCCTTTGCACGGAATTGTTGAAATGGCTCTCTTGGAGTGACCTTTCTCTCAGCCTGTCATTTTCAAGACCGCCTCCCCTGGGAGGGGAGCCCATCTCCTCTAGCTTTCTCTTCCCTTATAAGCCAAAGTTGGATCCTCTTGCCTCCTGCTCCAAAGTGACCGTGCTATGGTGGGCACTGGCGTGGGTAAGCCAAGGCTTATGGCTCTGCTTTGCCCCTTTTAGGAGCTGTGGCTCTGAACTTCAGTGTCTCTCTTAGGTCCTCTTTGCAGGAGTGAGATGCACAAAGGACTTCCCAGGCCTGGCTCACCCAGCCTGATGCTCTAGTTTTATAGATGGGAAGCTGTGACCCAGTGAGGGACAGTGTCCTCCGTGGCCCATGACCCTAGGTTACATCCTGTCCTTTGTGCTTGTACCACTCACTGGTAAAGGTGTTTCTTTGGGAACCATCCCTGGAAAAATGACAGGGTTCTGGAGAACGAGGAGTGGCACTGGGGTGGATGGTTGTCTGGGGAGCGAGTCCTTCCTGTGCTTCTGCAAGAAGTGGGAGCTTCCAGCTTTCTGGGGACGAGCCTCTGTTCTGTGCTGTGTGTGCAAGGTTTGTGAGTGTCCACAAGGGTGCAGCATAGAACCCAGGTAGTCATAGAGTGGGAGGTGTTCTGGATACTAGGAAGGGTGGGCATGAGGCCTAGCTGGTAAGCAGATTGCCTAAGTGTCCTCTGCTATTCTAGGTCTGCTCAGAGGCTGTGCATCCAGAACTAAGGATGTCTTGCCACCCAGAGACAGGGTTTCATGTGGCCCAGGCTGGCTCTGAACCCACTAAGTAGCTGGGGATGACGTTGAACTTCCAGTCCTCCTGAGTACCGAGTTTACCGTCTTATGTTACCATATCTAGTTTATGTAGTGCTGGGGTTGGAACCTGGGGCTCTCTACCAACCTACTAGCTAGACACTTTCAATATCATCTCAGGAACAGGCCTGTTGGTCACCACTAACAGCCTAATGGGGAGCTTCTGTGGTGGGTGGCACAGCTCCCTTTTACTTAGTCTGGCCCTGTGTGGCTCTGCCAGGCACGCTCTCCCAGAGCAGCTGGCCCCATTTCCATGGTGCCCTGGCTTAGGTTCACAAGACAGCTTTCTTTCCTCAAGAAACAAGCCTGCGCTGAGCAGCCGGAAGAGTCTCCTGATGCTGGGCAGGTGGGAGCTGGCGCTTGGGGAGGCGGAGCCAGGAAGGGATTAGTAACTAGGCAGCAGATAGCGCCAAGCTGTGTGCCCGTGTAAGCGGGCAGCCTAAGTGGAAGGCGCTTGGCAGCAGGGCCTACCACTCCCTGCTGAGCAGCCATTGAGAAGTGGGGGAGGACACTGTCCCATGATTGAGAAGTGAACAGTGCCTACACCCAGGACAGCCACAGTGATGTCCGTTTGATACTCTGAAGAGGAGACAGAAGGTCTGGATAGCACCCATATTCTGAAAGTAGATATGTAGAGTCCCAGGGCTCTAAATGAACACACTGGGATCTAGAGGGTGGGCAAGCAGGCGAGCTGGCTAGAACACACCAGCCTAGTGGCTCAAGACAGGAAGCCATCTGACGGAAACACTGACTGCCAGGCCTCGTGGGGCTCTGGAGTGGTGGGAGGTGGGCTGGGGAGACAGTTAATCTATAGAGCATCAGGGCAGCTCCCACCAGAAGGTGACCTTGTGTGCTGGGACAGCTGCCATCCGTGCTGGGCATCTTTGGGGCATAAAGGGATGGCCAATGGGCCACCGTTGGCCGCTTTGTGGGAGACTTGCCAATACTTTCCCTGTGGCCAGCCCTGCTGTCCCCACCCCAGGGACAAGTTTCCTCTCTAATCCCTTCCCTCTGCTCTAAGAACAGGTGAATGACAGATGATAGGCTGGGTTATGATGGCTTTGCTGACCGCGGGGTCTTTTTCTGGTGGCCTGTGGTCTTAGTCTTCCCCACTGGCCAGGCTCTTCAAAGATGCTCAGCAGACAAAAGGAAAGGTCCTGAGATACAGTGTCCCTGGGATACCCCCTCCTTCTTGACAGAATTATCTGCTGCACACACACTTCCTGCCTTCTCCTACTACACACACACACACACACACACACACACACACACCACACACAAACCACATTAAGTCCGAGCCCCTAGCACAGGAGATCGCATCATGCGGGTAAGGGGATTGCCCCTGAGGCTGAGTGGGGTCCACAGGCCCCATATCACAACCACCTGACCACAGCTCACCCAATATCTATAGTCCCTGTCCTCTGGCAGGGACATACTGAGTGTCCTGTATACATCCCTGTTTCTAATTTCTAATGTGTCTGCTGTGTGGATCACTCTACCAGGCATTGTACACCCATTCCCTGTCTGTGCTTTGATGACCCTGGGCTAGAAAGGCTGCATGAGAGTTTTTTTTTTTTTTTTTCCTCCTCCATGAGTTTCCTCAGCCTGGGTCTTTTGGATCCTGGAGAGGGGCTAGCATGGCGGGGTGGGGTGAGAAGAGTCCATTGCAAGAGCATTCAAAGTCATTTGGAAGATCCCCAAAGTGCCAGGGTCTTTTCTTGGAACTTACAGAGTACAGGGGTCATTTTATAACTAAAGCATTTATTTCCATTCAATTCACTAATCGATTGTTCTGCTCCGGTTCCTGCATTTGCTCACAAAAAGAGTCTGTGGCCAGACCCCCTTGGCTCATAATGTTCCTCTGGCCAAGACCTTCAGACCTGGGCAAAGGCCTCAGGGAAAGAAGGAGTGGGAGAGAGAGTCACATGGTCTCTGGGGGTACCCTTGGAGGGCTGGGGCATCACAGTGAATGATCAGGGTCCTGATGTCTTGGGTAGCCTGGTCCAGGCTCCCAGAGGTGAAATTGGGTTTTGGCCATTGGAGAGCACCCAGGAACCTGAAGGGGCCTCTGTGCCTGTAAAG